GGAAACAAGGTCTTTGCAAATAGGGAAGGGTGGAGGGGGTGAAGGGAGGGCAAGGGAAGGGGAAAAAAATAAGAACCAGGAGACTCATGGAATGGTACAAGATCCCAATGATGAATGTAACTATTTTATACCGAAAATGTACCAATAAACTTAATGGGGAAAAATAAATAAATAAATAAATAGGAAATTTCCTTTATTGGTGGTGGCAAAGTTCAGGTTATGACCCTGGGGAACTAGGTGGCCCTGACATTGGATGTCATCCATGTGAAAGAGAGGACTATGAACCAGTGAAGAAGAGCATGACCAAGAGATCAGCAGATGATAGAAAAAGGCAGAGGACCTACATAACTGGTCATCGAATTCCTCAGGGAAGTTTTATTGCTTGGGTATAGAAGAAATGACATTTCAGACCAGCTAGACTTCAGTTATGGCATAAGTTTTTGAGATTTTAGGAGACTGCAAATCATGAAACACAGTTTCATAACAACGGACTGGAAAAAATGTAGGAAGGAAGACAAAGGTTGTGATAATTTAATACATATCACTATTGGGTGAACATTTGGGTAAAAATAGATGATCCAGAAAGACTTAGATTTTTAAGTACCTAAGCTAACAGTGATGAAGTGATCTGTGATGAAATTAGCCTTGATAATTACCAGGATCAGAGGGTAGAGATCTGGTGCCATCTATAATGCTTTACTTAGGGAAGCAGTAGCTTTAAACTTTCCTCAAGTTGTATACATTTGACAAGCCAATAGCATACTCTTCCCTTAGACTACATGTAAAATAATAGTCTCTTTCCTGTTTATAGATAAGAAAGTGGAAGAAGTGGGGCAGGAATGTAGCTCAGTGGTACCATGCCTACCTTGCAAGCACAAGGTCATGAGTTTAATCCCGGTACCAAAAAAAAAAAGTAGAAGTCGCAAATTTTATTTTATATATTTCACAGACACATCAGACTCAAAGCCAAAGGTAAAACGTAAAGTACTTTGATATTCACATAGTAAAGAATAAAAAATAGTGGATTTTGGTATATCTCTGCTTTTTATAAAACAGAACAAAACATAATGTCTACTATATTAGAGATCTATTTTTTGTATTTTCAAGCGAATCCACTTACGTTTTTCAGCTCAACACTACTAAATATTTACTACATATAGGATGTATCCGTGTTAGTAAGACAGATTAATAAGCTTTTGTGAATTTTACAGTTTAATAGCTCTTATAGATTTTAGAATTTAATAGGAGAAACTAGTCAGTTACACAGTAAATGCTAAAATAGAAATAAAGACATATGGATAGAACTATTGTCTATGTAAGATGCTCAAGATGAATTTCTTGGAGGAAGTTGTAGCATCTTGGCTGATTCTTGAGTACCTAAGACTTTCATAGGGAGAAGAGGATATTCCTGGCCGCAAAGAGGCACTGGAGCATGGTCATTAAAAAAAGAAAAATGTATGTTATGCCTAGAGAGCATGAAGTAAATCGGCAAAGGCTGTACAGCTCTACTCAAGATCACTGGCTTCCTTCCATCACCCCATCCCTCCACAGGCCTAGCAGCAGAGGGTTTTGAAGAGTGGCATAAACTGGTATGATTTTTTAGCCAAGCACATCCGGCAGTGATATAGGGCTAGAAAGGATGTGGAAAAGCAAAAATGAATAAATAAATACAATAGATCCAAGGTGATGAGGCAAGAAATTTTCTAATTGTCCACATAAGAGATGATGGGGAAGTAGGCAGTACTGCACTTTTTAAAAAATTAAGTATTATCCTCCTTTTGCAAACTGAAAAAAAAAGTACCTTTTTATTTTAAGCATTTTCATTTCTTTTGTTTTGCATTATATAGTCTCAGAAGTGTCGAAAAAGTGTCATTTTAGAAGAGGTTAGAATCTCACATGGTAAAATATGTATGAGCTTGCTCGCAGCCTCCACTCCAAACTTAAGTTCCACAAGGAAAGGGACTTTGGTTTTTCATCACTTTCACCCTGGCACTCTATCTTGAATTTCAAAGATTCTCAATAAATAGTGAATGAATGAAAGAAATGGACTCTTAAGAAAAATGAGTAGGATTCATGACACATGCGTTGGGAATAGTAAAAAATAATTAATGACTTTTTAAAATTTCAGAATTTGTATTCATATTGCTACAATTATTTATAATTGCATTTTCTCCAGGAAAATTTAAAATATTTTTTCATATAGGTCTTAAATTTTAGATTTCTCTAAGAAATTTGGATACATTAATATACTATAATAAATTTTGTTAAAATACTTGAGGCAAAGTTTTTACATACCTAGCATACTAGCGTACTTCTAGCCATTCAGCTTTTCAATGTACTTTAAAGAATACTGTATTAGAAATCTTTTCAGAGTTTATTTTATTGAAAACATCTGATTTTGTTTTTGTTTTTATTCAGTTTTAATCGCTTGGATCTACCACCATATAAGAGTTATGAACAACTAAAGGAAAAACTTCTTTTTGCAATAGAAGAGACAGAGGGATTTGGACAAGAATGAATGTGGCTTCTGGTCTTGGAGGAGCACTTGGATTTAAATACCCCAGCCAAGAAAAATTGCGCAGATAGTGTATATAAGCTGTTCATTCTGTACAGTGAATTGTCTGAACCTCTCAAAAGCATAAACATTTTCCGTTCTTCCACAGAAATATGCAAAACAGTTCATTTTCTACTTTATTTATTATTCCCTTGAAATGACTGGGAAAAAGATCATCCTTAAATTTTGAAGCAAGAGACTTTATTAAAAATAAGTATGTATCTATATAAGCATATATGATAGTGGCTCTAGTTTTATAGAGCTCCAGGTGTATTAAACATGACAGCTGTTCATTCACAAAGATCTGAATTTGCTTTACCTTGTCTCTATGATCCAGGGGAAATGTGCAAATTGCTCCATGTTCTTCTCCCTTATGTAACATCTCCAGAGGGTGTTTAGTTGCGTGCCTATTTAGGAAGGTATTAAGGGCTTAGGGCAAATCTTGAGTGTATTAAAACAATGCTGCTGGATTTTCTGAAGACAGGTACTTGAACCTGTCATTTTGTTTTAAATAAATCCAATAGTGAAAAATTTCCCTCTTTGCTAAATCAGTGATACAGTAAAAGTAATGAGTGAAACTAACTTACATGGAAGTCACATACTCGATCTAATAACATTTACTTTGTTATGGAGGTTGGAAAGAATTCATTGAGCAGTGTAGAGGTTTGTTTACATGTTACTTTGGGATGATAGTTATTTGTGAAATTAAAAAGAATTGACTACTCCTGTTTTTAAAATCTGTGATTCTTTAAATTTTATTAATAGCAAATTGATGTAGTTTGATACTTAGGAACATATAAAAAGGTAATGCGAAATTTGCCACTTTTGTTCCTCTTCAAAGTTTTGGTTTTATAAAAGCAAATAGAGTGAATGAAACGAGATGGATTGAAAAGTTACATAAACATTTGAACATTCATTAGAAGACTAATGATTTTCTATTAGTGTTTGAATGTCTTCATTCTTTTTAAATTCATGAAAATTCTGTATCTGAAAAAGCATTACCCCCCCCTTTTACATAGATCATTTTATTTTTATCCTAACAATACTTTGTATTTCATTATAAGGGCATTTATTGAGCTACAAAGATGTATATAACAAATTAAAATCTTATATGAATGATATTAATTCTGCTTTTAGCAAACTGGGCTTCCTAATACAAAAATTTTAATTTTCAATTTTAATCACGCTTTCAAATATGCACTGTAAATTTCATTTAAAAAATTTTTATAACCATGGAACTGACTTCTTAGAATGTTATCTGTAAATATTCCACTGTTAAGTGCATGTGGAAAATACTAGTATACAATCTAACTTCCATAAACACTAGTTTGCCAAAATTTTATTTTTCTACATATTGAACTGTGTTCTGAATTTTTACTCAAAATCCATAGTAAATATGTAATAAAGGCAGTGACACACTTAATGGATTAGATTCTTTTCCCAAATCCTAAGTACAAACATTCTGGCTTTTTTTTTATGTGTATGTCAGGTTATACAATAGGCTGACCATTGTTCAGGAGGATTGCTTAAAGTGTTCAGTAACAGGCACACTCACAGTACCACTGGCATATGAATTTTGTTATGACAGAAGTAACCATTCAGGGGAGGTGTGAGAGAATGTAAGTCAGCAGATCTGACAGAGATGGCTTTCAGGTAGGGTTTCAGGGTGCTGGTCCCTCTAGCAAGAAATTACCATGCACCAGGTTAAAGCTTCTCAGAGCCCACAAGACTAAACCAGCTTACCAAGGAAGACTTAATTTTGGAGACGCCATCTCATCGCCACATTTCATACCCTACTGTAGATTATCTACTCCCTGGCAGTCAGAACAGGTAGAGAAATGTGAGTGCCACTTTTTTCTTCCTCCTTCTTATAATTGAACTGAGCTGGAACAGCCAGAAAGGAATTAGAAGTACAAGGCTCACTGTGCCTGGACATAGCTCATGACTGAGCAGGAGATGAGAGGATGCTCAGACAGGTTCACGTTGCTGCTTCACTTTAATTTAGACACCTCACCAGCATCAGTGGGAGAGGGTCACATTTTCATCACTCACGTCAGTTGTCTGTCTTCCAGAGAAAGAACCTATCAGTACTTGGTGTTTTTTCTGTACTTCTTAAACAGTTAAAAGTAAAAATGTTAACTGCTGACATCACTTACCCAACCTGTGTCATATTACCCTGAAAACTGTATGGGACAGTATGTGTCGACAGGGAACTTCACGCCTGTTAAAAATGACCCTCACTGAGAAGTTGCAACTGGACAGAGAAAACTCCAGATATGTATAGGAAGCTCTAACTGGGTTTCTGAGAGGGTGAAAACCTGGAACTGCCTGTCCCTTCTGAGGACTTGTCACTTGGGGATACGATGGTTCATAGTTGTGTGGATGCTGTGCTACACGAGACTGCTGTTAAAAAGTCGTCTTCTGAAGGAGGCCCAGTGTTGCTCTGCTGGCCACTTGTAGTTCTTACCCAGCTGCTTTCTGAGTAAACCACTGCCAAGCTAAAGCCTGCTGTAGGCCTGCTGAGTCCTAATGTTTGAATCCAGAACAATGTGGTAGACATTGCAGAATATCTTTTGTTGAAACATGTATGAGAAAATAAAAGTTCTCCAACACTCCCCACTTTTCTTAATCTGTTAAATTTAGGAGCCAAGTTTGAAGTCAAATGGGGGTTTGGTCCAAATCCAAAAGTTACATCTCCTAAATTCCAGAATTTCCCTTTCCAGTCTCAACCACAAAGAATGCAATCTGATGTTGACTGCTTTAAAAGTACTAATACTTAAGTCTTTTACATAGTCCCTTAACCTTAACTCCATGAGATTGTGCTTGTTTTTAGCAATGCTTATTTTATAAATGAGTACAGTCTGAAAAGTCATTTTTTAAATGTCCATAACTAGTCCATAGTCCATGATTAAGTTGGTAAATTCTACCAAATGATCTGGGCATAGTGGTGCATGTCTATAATCCCAGCATTCTGGAGGCTGAGGCAGGAGGATCACTGAGAATTTAAGGCCAGCCTAGGCTACATAGTGAGCTGAAGCCTGAACTACATAGACCCTGTCTCAGTTTATAGGTTTTTATAGGATTATGGCCATTTTTCAAATTGCTTCTTTTCACATCCTCAAAGAATATCTGTAAGGAGAGCTAATGATCCATCACCTATGTTTGTAATATGTTTAGAAGACAGAGTACTACAAATTCTTTGTACAAGTGTGTAGGGAAAAGAGCCTCTCAAACCAGCAGTGAGCTCTGGACTACACAGAACAGACTCGAGTGGGGAGTGCACAGGAAGGAGCTTGTACGGGCTCCAAAGGCTCATTCTCAGCAATGTCTCATACTCATGTCAAAAGGAAAGCTTAGAATCTGCGAAGAAACATCTCTTAGGAGAAAGGGAAGACAGGCTCTAAAAAGGACCCAGCAACCATATTTCTAAGCATACAGTACAGGGCCCAATACCCTATTTTTTTATAAAATATGTGAGGATACCAAAGTTTTATTTAATAATTGTATTAACACTGTATGTGGGGCCCAGAGCAATTACCCTTCCCCAGTTGTGGCTCACACAAGCCATATAATGTGCTCACAGCAGCCTGCCCCCCCCCCCCCAATAGTGAGTATTGAATGCAGGGCCTGGAACATGCTGAGTGCTCTACCACTTTACATTTTAGAAAAGGTTTTGCTAAATTGCCTAGGCTAGACTTTTAACTAGAAATCCTCTTGCCTCAGCTGGGATTACAAGTCATGTGTCCATATCCAAACTGGACAACTAAATGCCATTCAATGGTTAAATAGTGTATTCAAATAATGAAATACTTGTGAACACTAAAACTGTTGATAGAACTTAGGTGAGCCTAAAGTGAATTATGCTGAGTGAAAAAAACTATAGCATGCCTCTCTCTAGAGAATGAGATCAATGGCTGATAGAGGCAGGGATGATGGGAGGAGGGGGAAGTATATGGGTGCAATTATGAGCTATAGATCTTCAAGGCAATGGAACAGGCTTGTCGACTGCTGTCAGAAAAATCTATGCATGATAAAATTGCTCAGAACAAAAACACAAGTGAGCATTTAAGTGGGAAAAATCTAAGGCCTGGGTCAGTTACCAGTTGGGTAGTATTCTCTAGTATTTAAGGTATTACCACAGCACTCTTTTTGGCAATTTCTTGTGATGCTATAATTATTTCAAAATAAAGTTCATTGAAGTATCTGAAAATAGACCTCCCCATGCACAAAATGCTTTATTACTGAAAGATAACTCATTTCACAGAAATAACTTACCAGATAGTCTGTGTGGATGTGCGTGCATGGTGGGATTGAACTCAGTGAGTTGTGCGTGCAAAGTACACACTAAACATTTAGTTACATCTGTGGGACTGCATAACTCTGTAATCATAAAACCTCCTAGCCCCAACTGTGATTGAATGTGAGTTAATGGATAAAGATGCTTGTTAGTTCTGGGACACTAGATAAAATCTGTAACAGAACTAAAGTCCCAAAGTAAACTACTCAAACTCCTTGTTTGCCTGGAACTGATGTTCCGGACACCACAATCTATAGAATAATCTGCAAATGTCTGCGGACCATCAGTACGTGACGTGACGGTCGACCACTAACCTTTGTCCCTTTTCTCGTAAATCTACATGTTAACTTCCTCCTCAACCCCTATAAGAACAGCCTCAGACTCTGAGCCAGTTGCCTCTCTAAGCTACTTTGCTTTGGGAGTGCCGTCTGGCCAGACTAATAAAGGTCTGTTTTACTTTACAACTTGTCCGGTGTGTTCCCTCCCGGGTGTTCGCTGCAGTCAGCTCCTCGGAGCGTTTGGTAAGGCCCTCGGTCTTACACATCCTCAGCCCAAGATTAATCTTGACTCAACCTAAACCCCTAGCTTCCTCTGATTTAATTCCCTGATATTGCAGGTAACAAGATAAAACAAAAAAAATTACACTCCTAGTAAAGTTCAGTTATTCTAGAGCAAACTGAAAATGAGGAAAGGTGCTAGGGGTATAGATAGCTCTGGTACAGTGCTTACTTAGCAGGTGCGAGGTTGTGTTTCCCGTGTTGAGAATTAAAAAAAAAAAAAGTAAATTGGCTAATATGCTAATATAAATGAGTAAATTACAGACATGTAAAAATCTCAAATGAGAAATTCCATAACTCGGAACTGGACAAACATGAAGATGTGAAATGGCTGCTGAAAAAAGTGAAGACAAATACCTCAGAAATGAAAAAGAATTATAAAGAGTCTACAGAAGAATACATACAACCAAAAGTAAAATGACGAATACGGAAAACCAATGAAAAGAGACAGCAAATTGAAACAAAGTGATGAATGTAAAAATCAGGTAAAATTGTGACATACAAAGAATTAACTGGAGTGTCTGAAAACAGGATAGAACAGTGGTTCTCAAAAGTATGGTTAGGCCAATCTGGAATGAGGGACAACCACTACGACAACTGGACTGGTCTCTCCAAAAAATATGGTGAGCAGAAAAAGATGGAGGAACTCTTCTAGATTAAAAACAACTAAGCAGAAAATCAAATGCAATGCATGATCTGTGGTCCTGGTTCAAAAAAGTGTAGGAGGGCTGGGGATTTAGCTGAGTGGTTCTGGCGCCTGCCTCAGAAGCACAAGGTCCCAAGTTCGATCCCCAGTACCAAAAAAAAAAAAAAAGGTAGGATATTTTAGGGCATTTGAGGAAATTTGAATATGGCTTGATAGTAGATGCTATTAATCAGTAATGTTATAGTGATAATGGATTCATATTTTTTTGGAAGACATCAGGATAGAGGACACATGATGAAATACATGTGCAATTCAAAAGTTTAAAAATAAATATGGTTATACACAAAATATACCAAATGATTAACAATTGTTCAATCTCAGAGATGGGTATACAGAACTCACTATTTCATTTTTCATGTTTGAAGATTTACATGATAGAAATAGGATTAACAGTTTATTGTAACAGTACAGTTCTTAAATCCTTTGGGGGAAAAATGCACCCACATGGCTAGGGATGTAGCACAGTAGCAGAGTTCTTGGCTAGCATGCACAAGGCCCTGGGTTCAATCCCAAGCACTACAAAATAAAGGAAGAAACACTGACCTATACTTAGTCTCAGATTTATGTAAGTGGCATTCAAGAGAATCCTTTTTACAAGGCTTAAGATTCTGCAATGGTTGCACCTTAGGCTCAAGTAGCACTGACCTGCTTATTTAAATTATCTTAATTTCCATTTCATTCTTAAATTGTTTCTTTCATCTCGATAGAGAATACGATTTGGACTGTTCGGTGACAAATTCAGTGCACCACATTTAAAAGGAAGCCACTCCCACTTTCTAGCCCTCTCCTGATTTGAGGTCTCTCTTCGTGCAGGATGGCTCCACGACACATCATTCCTACTGTACTTTATACCGAGAACCCCTCAACACCCTAATCACCTTTCACTGCACATTCTCTACAAGATCTCAACTTTGTATCAAATCCAACTTGAAAATCCACTCCCACAAGCTTCGTGTTTCTTCCACAAAGCTTTCCTTTTTTGCGGGGGCGGCGGGGCGGCGGGG